AAAAGAAGAAACGAAGACAGTAGATGGATTTGGGCAGAAAAGAAACTTCACTGTTGCCTTTTAGGTACAGCAGAAGTCACTATGTAGTGTGACTACAACAGTGTCAATGTAGCTAAAGAGTGATAGCTGGACAGCAGCTGCTTAATTAGCAAAGTTCTGTTAATGGAGGATAATTTCAATCWACTTCAAACAAGCAATAGCTCTTTGTTATCAGTAAAACGTTTGCTTCTTTTGAGAGCTTTATTTTGAAGGGGCTGTAGGACTTTSCCTAATCAGAAACCAATGAGAATGGTATTGGAATGTCTGTCTGTTAGCTTATCTTAAGGCTCATTGTTTTATGGAATCAAATACCCACATCACTTCCTAAGACTGAAAAGGGAAAGTCTCTGCATAATCTGGAGAGGGAAAACTTGAATCTTTGTATCCTGAGGAAGATGAATTCTCTAGAGACAAATTCATTAGTCTGCAGTAGAAAAGCCAAATTGAAGTGATGTGTAGATGCTGTTTCCCAAAAGCATGGCGATGGTCTGTTGGCTGGAAGGAGCTGGTGTTAGATGACGATGCCATTATTAGGTTTCTGTTTTTCCACAGACTCTTGTATGACATGTGCGGGTCCTTTAGTGTGGTGGTGGTGGGAGTTTTACCTCTTCCATCTGTGAAATAGGTACACAAAACCTCCCTAATTTGTAGGACAGTTGAGTGGGACATATGATGTGAGTTCCCTAAAGTTTTTAGGCATTGAATACTTTAGCTGCTGGGCTATAAAATTAGACAGGTGGGTCGATAGCTGCTAGAGAAATCCTATAAAGAACCAAATAAAAACAATGCAATAGTAAATGTGACTCATCCGTGAAGTATAAAAGTGTTGACTTGGATTTAATCTTCAATAACAAGTAAAAGCCATTGTAGTTTTTACAAATATGCACTATTTACACATTGGATTATATATCTGAGTTCTCCRTATTTTGTGTACTGTGAGATTACCCCATTTTGAAAACTGAGAAAGTTGTTGCTTGAATATGTTTCAGAGAAYGTCAGATATGTTCATTCAATCTAGGTGTAGCACAAGATTAAATAATGAATTTGTGTAAAATGCCAGCAGCCAAATGCTATATGTGCATTTTCTATTGTCTAGGGTTGAGAATATGCTTTGAAATTATTTCTAACACTCAGTTTTTGCCTGAAGATTTTATTTCTTGTGTTTAGTCAGTTATAATTGTCATAGTCACTAGGAAGATCTTAGATGTGACTCATAGATGGATAGAAATAAGTAATAGGAGTCCCAAACACATTATTTTAACCTGTATGAATTTGTGGGGTTTGGCTCATGACTTTTTTGCTTTGATGACTGGCAGAACTGCAGAAGCTCTTGTGAAAAATGTGTAAGATTCTTGGTCCCCTTCAAATTACCAGCACAACTTCTGTTAATTAACTGCAAGAACAAGCTTTAGAAATTGAATTATATTTACTCTGCATTGTTTTAGAAAACAACTGCAGCAGTTTAAGACATTAAATGCAGCCCAAGCTATTTGCTACTGCCCTTTTGCTGGAATGTATTGCTCCCACATCAGAATGAGAAAATGGACGATGATCGTGTGCTTTGGCAACATCAGGGTGAAGTTGGGAAGCTTAGCTTAAATGACTGCTGAAAGTTGTTTTAAAGTGAAGCTGCCAGACTTTGTGCTGAAGTGGATGAGGTGCAAGTACACATTACATTCCACCAGCTCTCCTTTGGCAGCAATGATSTCCAGCTGAGGAGTAGGACAGACATTTGGGGGTGGTAAGTTTTTAAACTATCTCAGCTAGAGCTACTAAACCTTGTCTGTTAACATGCTGAGATGACTGTTAATCAAAGCTTTATTTGGACAAAACTGTGGTGAAACAAAGAACTAGATTACTCTTCATGCGTGACTGGAAAGTAGAGCATGTTTTTTGAAATGGAACAGTTCCAAAATAACAAAATTGCAGATTCTGACTTATTTTCAGTCCTCAAAATACTCTCCCCTTTAAATTGCAAAGGTCTGATGAAATTTGAGGAAATAGCTCCTTTACTAATCAAATGTTTTTCTTTCTGTATTTTTTACTTTCAACCGTAGTGTAAAAACTGCATGGGGTACAGCTTTGTTCCTTGGCAYTGGCAAGAGCTAGCATTTTTGTAAGTGATGTGTAGTTTTCTCTCTAAGTAAATGCCAGTTCAGCAGACCAGTGTGTGTGCGCCAGCTTTGCACAATAAAATGTTTGGCAGATAAGTCAGATCTGGAACACGGAGCACCTGGACCAAGAAAGATTATTTCTCATTATTGACAGTGATTTGAACCGTGGCAATGACATGCTTGACATAAAATCTGATGCAAAGAGGCCCTGGTTTTTAATTACCATGAAGTTAATAAAAGAAATGTTGCAATGATATTTTTTACTCTTACTTGGATGAAATTCCTTTAGAAAATCCAAGTCATTTATGATYGTCAGTTTTTTTCTGCAGTGTACCTAAGCATAGGTCACTAACCTGCCTGTGTTTACAGGATGGGATTTAGACCAGTGTTTGAGGAACAATTCATTGCCTACTGATTGCAAGACTTCTTTTTCTTTTTTTTGCCCCATAGCCCTAGTCAAAAGATTGGTATGAAGAAACTAGGTCCTATGAGGTCAGATAATGCTGTGTAATGCTGAAACTCCTACTACTGCCCTACATGGGATTTGGCAACCTTTCTCTTGATARCATCAGGCCAGGAGTCCAGTAAATCATGAGTGTTGTCCACTAGATAAGATAATATGAATGTGATCAATTAAACTCAAGAAGAGTACTTCAGCAGCTAATAAATCCAGGTCCTTTACCAGCCTGTTCAATTATTGTTGCTTGTTTGACATGCATGTTTAATTTACAGAGGTAATCTGTAACATATACTGTTTATATATTCCTAATCCATTTTACATATTGTTTCCTTTAAAATAATAGAATTTATTAATTTATTCATTCATTTTAACGTTGAAAATACATTGCAGAAGAGTTCAAGTATTTAAGAAAAAAAAATTAAGCTGGTTTAGGGTATCTTTCATAGCAGACTTACCTCCTCTGGGGCTTCTTTGCTGAAATTGTTCCATGATTTTTACTTCCCTTTGCATGAACCTGATATTAAACCTGTATTAATAATGAGAACCCTGTATCTCTTACCTGTGTTAATAATGGGAACCTTTTGTTTTTAAATGAAGCAAAGAAAAATCTTTCAGCATTTTACTGTGAGGTTGTTAATTTGATCACTGCTTTTGGATTGTATGTTTAGATGTAATGTGATAGTATATAATGGAAAAGATGCATCTGTATGGCTAATGCAGTTGTTACATGCTGATAATGTAGTATTTAATATTTACATGTCTTTGACTTAAAGGAGGAGTAGGCCATTGTCATATATTCTTCCACTGAATTCTCTGCCTTTTTATTCTGTCCTTTCTCTAGCTTTAATGCACTTTTGCTGATTGCACGTATGAGCCTTTCACTTTGGTGCTTTGAAAAGACATTTCCTGGAAAATGCTCGAGAAGCAGCGCTGGTGCTGAGAGTGCTGCTTTTAGCCAAACATGTTGCCCTTACATCAGCTTAAGGCCTGAAAATGCACTTTTGTTTTGCTTCTGCATAATCTTCTTACGTTATCCATTCATTCTTTTTAGCTACTGATTAATCTCTCCATTGTTTTCCTTCTCTTTTCTTTTTACATTCTTCTCCTTGCCCTCTATCCATCATGTTGATACATGGTTAACAGMATGTTGTCAGGGCAGAGCTAGTGAAATACCCTGAAGAAGATAACCAGCATCACAACACTTCCAACTGCCAGAGCAAAATCTGCTCAATGCAGTAGTTCCAGGTATTGATGGAAAACTTGGTTTGTTTCTTTTTTTGTAGCTGCATTGCTTTTACATCAACTTTTAAAATAAGTTCTATTGGAAGATTGTGTTCTGTATGTGTAAGTGCTGGTAATACTCGACATATTGTTTTGGAACTCTGTGTACAATTAATTACATAGTGCTTCTAATAATCGGATACTTTGTAGAAATTTTGAAATGCTTCATGTAACTGTATTCAGTGTTGTGCATTCAAAATGTTACATAGCTTTCTCAGATGGAAGTGGATACAAAATTCTACATTTCTGTCTCCTCATGCAGGAGAGAGAATCAGTCTTATCAAATACTTTGTAAAGAGAATGGGTAATATGTGTTAGATCTATATTGGAGATTAAATATTTATGGTATGCAGATCTTCTTTTTATGTTAATCTTTAGCCAGTATGCCTGTCAAAGCTTTTTTTGAAATATGGTTGTATTTAAAATTTTCTTTGAATTCTGTCCATGTTTTCCAATTAAATGCTTGGAGTAAAGACAAAAAGACAAACTTAGGTACAATTTCCAGTTACAATTTAGGCAACTATTCTTGAAGAATGAATGGCACAATTTTTGCAAACAAATTCTGTTTTATTACTCTCATGCAGAACAATTTTCATGGCAAAAGAACTGTATTTACTGCTTTAGCAAAAGAGTTGTATTCCTTTTGTTGTGTTGTGAAAACCAACCAAGGCACTTGCTTCTGCTTAGTATGAATAAACTGAGTATTAGAATTAGAATTAGCACCTGATAAGAATTCCTAKAAGGTAGTGAAAAAACCCTGGTTTGTTTGTTATTTTTCCCTTCRTATTTCAGTAAAAGTCTGTTTAATGCTTTCCATCATGAAGGTTGTATTTTCTGACTGTTACTGTGTTTTCTTTTATGACAGAGGGTGGTGAAGGCAGATATTGTCAACTACAGTCAGGAGCCTGTGACAAGAACCGTTAATCCTGCTAGAAGCTCAATGTGTGCAGTTCAGTGACCACGCTGTTCTTCTCTGGTTGACACCTTTGCAGTCCTCCTGCCTTGAAACAGGCCCTGGGATTACCAGGAACTTTGTTTTAACAGGGACCAGTGCAACAATGCAATTAGAGGTTTCAGAAACCTGTTGCACCACAGTCCATTGAGAAGCAGCAGGCAGTTTTTTGACTGGCTGAAATTCAAACATGAGACSACACATTTGAAAAATTAAGGTCTATATAKTCTTTTAAATTATATTTAAATAAAACTGTATAACTGTGTTTATGTTTTYTTCTGTCTATTTGACTGATRCCMGAATAAAAATGGATGAGGAAGCCCTGCATTCAAAATGCTTTTAAAGACATCACCRTGGAAGGGTATTTTGCCAAAGCATTTCTAATTTTTTTTTCTCCAGTAATTTGAACTGACACTCAGCAAAATGTTACTTGGAAAAGCTTTTGCTGGAATAATTTTAAATACATAATATATTTTATCTAGAGATAATTTTGAAAGTGTTCCATTAATATATATACTKAGCTCAAAATGTATAAATTGTATCCAGTGAGAAACAGTGCTTGAAATAAAGCTGTTATTATAAAAATAGTTTTCTGAAGTCTCTAATTGTCTCCATGGATGTGCTAAAAAAATATTAGTGGTTTTATGTATTTTTATTACCACATCAGCATTACTTCTTGCAGTAATAGATAGGCTTATATGTCTTTATTAATATGGATGAATCTCAGTCTACAGTTTGGTCTGTAAATGATGAGTGATATATTCAACATGCATTAGAAACTGTTGATAGATCAATTAGCATCAGTCACTTTAAGTAACTAACAGAATGACATTTGGCTTGGTAYTCTTTTCTTTCTAGTTTAGAGTAAATGATAAATAAAAAGCTGTCTGCTCTGTGATCTTCACACTTCTCCCCTGTTCCTTTTCTAGCAGTGCACAYAGTTCTCTGCTGGCACATCTGAACAGAAAGCTAAGGAGAGAAAAAACAYTAGGCCATCTCAATTCTGAGCTAAAAATATTTTCCTGTTTAAACTCTAGAATGTRCTTTCTTAAAACTATGAGAAAACATATGGTGATTCAGAAAGTAATGAGGCTGTGAAGGAAGCTTGTATAGCAAAAATGAAAATTTAGAGGTTCTTCAAGTGAATGTTACTATTAAGCTGGTCAAGCTTACTAGTTGGAACAATTAAACAATCAGTAGTTTAATACAGTAGCTAAACTACTTTAACTATGTAAGAAAAASATTGCAGATGGCTAGAAGTCCTATTTGTTAGCTTAACAATAATTGTATAACTGTGATATTACTTACTGTGTAATGTTTAGCATTCAGATGTAGGAAATACTAAGAAAGAAGCTAAGATATTGAGAAATTGTTCTATGCTAAGGTAGATRTGGTTTGCAGTAAATTATTTATTCTAGGGTTACAGTCCATGTTCTTGCTCCTTCCCATGGAGTTTGTGTACTACTGCATTACTTTTCTGTGTAGTTAACTGCAGCTGTAAGTGAATTCTCTTTGCTGCCACCACATGAGAACTCCTCTTCGATGAGTTTTTCAAAAGTATTTTTTCAGTTCACAGGCCCCCCAAGGCAGGTGGGAAGTTTCTCCAGTCCATATGTGACAACTTGATAGTCCTGCTTCCCAAGTTATATGTAGTATGGTCTTAAACACCCAACAGTGCTTTRCTGTTAAACACTTCAGCGATTTTACATTTCAAAAGAAAACGCTTTTTCATAATTTGATATGCAGAGCCCAGTATTACCTTGAATAATAAAAAAAAATTTACATTTTGGGTGTCCTGCAGTATGAGAGATGTTATATGTGTCCCAGTCCAAGCTGTTTTACAGATGSATATTATGTCTCGGTCACATCACAGTTTTTTATTCTCAGGGTCTGTTTTTCTAGCTGTTTTTGACTTGTACATCCTTTTGTATTTTATTCCTATTGATCTTTTCACCAACTGCTATGTTAAAGGCCTACCTCCTCTGAAGATATTTTTGTTTACATTTCCAAACTGCCCTCATTCCTCCTCCCTAACATACRCATATATTATTTACACTAACCAGGAATCTCCTCTCTTCCGTGCCCCCAGCCCCTCCTTTTGCTGCCCCTCTTAACCTCCTCAGATTTTTTGTATTGTATACTGACTTCCACTCTCTCTGCTTTCCACTACCCTTCCTGCCTCATTGAGATCCATTACCTGTCCACCTTTTAATCCTTACAAATGAGCTTTGCTCCTTTTGCTSAGCCTTGGAGACCCCACCTTGAGCCTTTGGATTGCAGCTGCAGTTTAAATCCTTGGCTGTGGTAGCAGCCTTTGAAGTGCTGCAGCAGCTGCAGCTGAAGATTCAGCAGGGCCTTTGCTGGTCCTGCAGCACATGTTACTCCAGGCTGAGCAGAAAGGTCAGAGATGATCCTGGAGGATTAAGCAGTATGGAGAGAGGGAGTAGACAGTGTTCTGCTGGGAGTGCAAGGACTCTGGGGACTGCAGGGATAAACACAAATCTAGTTAGAGAAGTGTGTAGGGGAAGGCAGGTGAACAACTGCTCTGGGTCCGGTTGCCTTCTGTAAGTAAAGTCCTGCCACTACTGATTCATGATTCACGTATAGTAGAGTTGAATTGTGCCATATCARTGCACTTAAAAGCTTTTTCCAAGGTGAAAACTGGTTGAAGGCAATTCAGCAAACAGTAATAAAGTAAAAAACTGCAATGCTCTTCAAAAGTGAGGCAGCATATGCTTAAYGTCCACTGACATGGGAGTGGGCTGGGACAAGTGAAGCATGTTTTTTTCCTGAAGCTGAGGCCAGATGAAGGGAAGAAACATGTTCAGTTCCTGATCTTACACAGATGCACACTGGTGAGGTGATCTGCCTGCTCAGAGCTGTTGTAACTAATCATTTCAGTAACAGCTCTGCAGTTAAAAATTGATACTAAGTTCAGCTCTTTGCTAAGGTCAGTCTGATGTGGTGGATACCAGTAGGTACATTGATTCTGGCTGCATGGTAGAATATCAGCGCTTTTAAAACAGATCTGAAGCATTATTAGACTCAGGCAACYTGTCTTTTGTGGTTCTGAAGTTTGGTGGAGTCGAATCTGCTTCACAAACAATAGCATGAAGGTATTTTCCCTTACAATTAGGTGCTGTGAGTGCCAGAACCTGTGATGAGTTCATAATCTTTCTGAATACATTGTTCTTTTGACAGTTCGTGAAAGCCATAAAAACACACGAAGCTGCTTTTTAACCAGAATAACTTTTTCTTTTTGAAGTTTTAGACTTGGGGTCACTAGGAAATTATGTGAAATGTACTCTTTTGAAGAATTTGAAAATTGCCAGTGYTATCTATCTGCATCATTAGGCATCTGAAAGCCCCCTTTACTTTAAATCACTGCTTGAACTCCTCTGGAAGAAAAGGGTTTTTGCATCAGGTAGCTTCTTTTAAATGCAGAGCTAATTTGATTGTCAGCAGATGCACCTGATAATGAGCCTGATAGCCAAAATGTAATGATTTTGTAAAGAAAAATATCAGCGTAATATTTGAGGTTGGTTATTCTGCTTTTTTTTTTGTGAGAATGCCAATTTAGATAAATTGTAGCTGTATTTTTCCTTTTTACATTTACTTTATGTGAGGCATAAGGTTGTTTTCCCACAAAAGTTAATAACTTTGTTTCATGATGTCCTTGACATTTTTACAAAATTGTAGTAGAGAGTATGATTAGAAGGTAAATGTTGGCATACCTAATTTGGACKGTAGTGTCCTGTTAATGTTTTTACAGAAGATTAAAGTGCTGTTCTGTAACATATCTACAAGTTTGTAATAATGGGAAATTTTCTGCAAGGGAATTTTTCCTATTTAGAATACTTGCATTAATTTCTGATGTATCTTAACAGTTTGTATGAGGTGCCTGATAGATGTATTTAAAGCAGCATTGTCTTTTATAGAAGTTATATTTACAAAGTTGTGATTAATTGCCTTTCTTTCTGGAATTTGCACAAGATTTCCCAAGCAAATATGTTATTCTACAATGCTGTATTCTTTTCTTTCTCAGTTCAAATACTACTGCTTAACATATAATCTGATTTCTTTAGGCTGTCTTTATTTGAAACCAACTTATATCCACTTAAAGTGTCAAAATAGMTGAAAGTTGCTGAAAAGAAAAAGCAAAAATTTATCCATGTTTGCATWGGGGTAATGGCATACATATGAGATTAAAACTGCAGTCCAGATAATTATCCGTAGGAAGCAAATTTATACTCTGATTTCAGATGCTATGAATAGAATGTGATTAGAATTTAATGTGCTGCAGTTTTATTTGCAAAATACACAGGTCCTGTATAAAACCTCTTTTTATAAAGTACTCTCTAGAAGCCTTGGGGATCCCTGTTTAACTTGCAAATGCCGAAGTTTGATCTTCCCCAAATAGAAGATAGTGAAGCTCCTGAGTTCCATGAACTGATTTCTATTTTCAGCTTCCCATAGAGAGCTGACTGTTCAGCCAATTTAAACTCTTTTTTTTTTTTTTCCTACTCCACTTCATCTTCATTCATTTTGGCACCATTTTTTACTGGAAAACTTCCAGTTAGCTAATTGGCCATTTGCCTTGTTTTATGTGGGGGTGATGTCAAGTGCTGAAATAACCGATTGACTGAAAGCAATCTTGTTTCAAAGGCTGGTCAGAACCAAACCTCAGAAGGTACCAATTTCAGGTTTGTTTTGTRTTTAACTGCTACACAGCAGTCCTTATCCTGCTGGACAAACCTCGGAGAAGAATATAGATTTGAGGTCAAGAGCTTGTGTTTGCTCAGATACCACATTTAGAGCACTGAATTCTGGAGGAAGTAGGAATCCAGATCATTTTTTTAATATCACTTTCAAGACTTCCTCTGCTTCTACTCTGTAATGTCATACTAGTAATCAATGTTTTTAAAAAATATTAATTCAAGTCCTCATTTAAAAAACAAAATGTGGTAAGTGTACTTTGGTTCGGGAAAGTTTTTCTTTTAAGGATGAGTGGAAAAAACTTTATGTTGTACGAAATATCACTGGCATAGTTGAAGATCTTTAATACAGATTAATAATCACATTTTCTTATGATCTGCTAAATATTCTCTATTCTGCTTTTCTTGTTTAAAATATTCTTTAGAATGATAATGACTGTAAATAGAAATAAAATGCCAAAGTGATTTTAATTATATTGTGCCTCAGAAAACATCCTGCAAACTGCTTCAGGCAAGCATTTTTGCTTTGCTAGCTAAACGCCATTTCTGTCCTTTCCTGGGCTGATCCATACCAGGTAGCTTGGAGGATCATGACCTACTAATCCTTTTTGATTTCTGGTGAGCTTTTAAAAACAAAGTAGACCAAGAAACATCAAAGGAGGATTTAAAAGACACACACCGTGCTCTGAAAAGTAAATGTTGCTTTGGAAAGCATTCTCTCCTTTAAAAAAAAGAGGTGAATGTGTGGTTCAATACTATTCACCAAAAGCACTTAAGCATATGCTCAAAATTAAGCGTGTATTTAAGTTTCCTTGAAGTCTATGCTGTTTAAGTACACACTTGAAGCTAAATACATTCTGTCATACTTTGCTGACACAGAAATTTTGGCTCCATTGAAATAAATGCCTTTGAGGCTAAAGTTCTTTCATAGAAATTTCAGTGTTGTTTCTTAAATTTTTGACCCATTGTGAAGGGTATAAACTAAAGCCACTCCCAAGTTAGGAAAAAAAAAAAGAAAAAATATGTTCCTCATACAATCAGTTGTTTTTCTGATATTTTCTCTAGCATGAATGATATGGAAATTGAAAAAATAAAAGTTCAAATGTGGTTCAGTTTTGTGAGCAGAACATTTACTTGACATTGGGCAAGTTGCTGTTTTTGGAACAAATGCTCCTCAGATCCATAATGAATCAGAAACAAAAAGATCTGGAGGTGCTTGACAAGTCTCATTGCAAACTGAATTCCGACTGATAGTGCAGGAAAACATATCAAGTTCCCATTTGTAGT